AAACCCCAAAACCCCAAACCCAAAACCCAAACCCCTAAACACAAAACCCTAAACCCAAAACCCCAAACCCTAAACCCTAAACCGTCAACCCTAAACCTCGTGAATCGACACGGGGTTCTCTAGCCTGAAGATGGCAGGATCCGTTTCTTTCTCACGGCCTACAAGCATCCTGGCAAGCATAGAGTTTAGGGTTTAGGGCTTCTGATTTTGTTTAGGGCTTTAGGTTTGGGGCTCTACTTAAAGTTGGATACAGGATCATGGGACTTAGTAATAGCGGGTTCTAGATCAGGTAGCTGTAATTCGAAATGCTTCTACCGTTGAGGCTACTTATAGCATTACTTACTACTTCCCGTGACCCTCCAAGTAGGGTATGTGCGGATGTGAAGTGTTTGCACCTCAAGCATTTGGGCTCAGCTTCAGGGCATAGACAATGCCTTTCACAAAGCCCCTAAAACCCTGAACCCTTAATCTCTTACACCCCCCAACACCCGTTATGTAAATCAACCGTAAACATTAGTACATCTTCTAGAACCTACTCGTTTCGAGGGCCCAACCCCTTGACCCCAGAAAACCCTAGGATTCTCCTCCATTTACGATCCACCCCCGCCTTGTCCAGTGGGGTGAATCCCCAGCCGCTTTCTACGTTCACGTCCGCTTTGCTCTCCTGCGAGGTAGGGGGGGCTGAGTAGAGACTTTGCTTGGCTCCCGACTCAGGATCCACATGGGTAGTTCTCTATATAGTTACTTATATTAGGGTCCCCTTTAGGATCCTTTTTATAAGGATGCCGTACCACAATGAATATATTAGGGTCCCCTTTAGAGTCCATTTTATAAGAATGCCGTACTACGGTAAATCTTGGGGATCTCAAAAGGGACCCTAATTTAGAGAACTACCCACATGCAACCTGCCAGGCAAAAAGGCTCCCCGTGGTGAGGTCTGAAATCGAGGGCTTTGGGGGCTAAGCTTCCATTAACCCCAAAGCCTAAACCCTAATGCCTAAACGCTATTTTTAAAAGCCCTGAACCCCAAACCCCTAAAGCCTAAACCCCCCTGTCCAGCAGCTTGTTCATGAACGGCAGAAACTGGGAGCCTGTCCAATTTTGACCTCAGCAAGAACGACAAGCTGACAAAGACACCAAATGTAGGGACCTAAAGACGCAGAATTTAGGGTTTCGGGTGTAGGGTACACTGGAACCCCAAACACCTCAACCCCGAAAGTAAAAAACGCTACCCCTCAACCCCTCGCCTGCAATCATCTTCTGAACCTGAACCCTAGACCCTGAACCCTGAACCCTAAACCATAAGCCCTGAACCCGAACCCTAAACCCTAATTCCTAAAGACCCTGAACCCGCGAAGCTGAGCCAGGAACAGGCGAGCATGAGGGGTGTGTTGCCATCCTTGTTCCGGGCATTGACGTTGGCTCCCTGGCAGACCGCATCTCATCCCTAGTTCCCACATGGGGAAGCGTGTGTGTGTGTATATATATATATATACATAGTTGTATAAATATATAATTTTACATACCTACATATATATATATATATACATACGCATGTTGACACAGACACATACAACGTGAAGTTTGTTGATGTTGTTGCTGATCTTTTGGGAATACATAGGTGTATATGTATGTGTGTACGTATGTACGTATGTATGTATGTATGTATGTATGTATGTAAGTATGTAAGTATGTAAGTATGTAAGTATGTATGTATAAATGTATGTAGGTAGGTATGCAGGTAGGTAGGTATAGGGGTATATCAATATGTTCATATGTATGTGTATGCGCTGCGTATGTGTTGGGTGTGTTTCTGTGCGTGTCTACATGTGGCTGCATGCGGACATGGATGTGCATGTCCATGTGCACGTGAAGGTACGCGTATGTGTATCTGCATGTGTATCTGTATCTGCCTGTGTACGCACTTATGTATATGTATATGTAGAATGTAGATGTATGTGTCTCTGTGTCTGTGAATGTATGTTCTTTTATAAACGTAACTATTTTCATGTATAGGTATATGTACATGTATGCGTATATGCATGTGCCTATACATCTCCAGGCGGACCTTTTTGATGGCACGGTCCAGGTTGCCCATGCTCACGGAATACTGGCAGGCCTCCCCAGGATTTGGGAGTTTCCGAAAATAAGGGGTACCTTATTTTGGGGTCCTTATAATAAGGACCCTACTATTTAGGGTACTATATTAGGGTCCCTATTTTCGGAAACCCCCATTTGGATTCTGAGGAGACTTCTCTGGGCATCGCAGAAGCTGCAGATTTCGGATTTTGGGTCTGGGGTGTGTCTTTTTCTTCAGGACTATCTCTGTCCTCACAAGGAGCCCTTCGTTAAGGGGTAGGTTTAGAGTTTTGGGTTGAAGTTTCTGAGAAGCCTCAACCTAGACGTTGAACTTTCTCCCTAAACCCTACTGTATGGGCCTTAACAAGAAGACTAGGGTTTTGGGGTATATATTATAACTTTAATAGGGAACCCCCAAAATAGTATCATTAATTATTGAAGCCCCTATATTAAACCCGAAGAGCCCTGGCGGGTGCCTGGAAGAGGAAATCATCTGCGGTCTGATTCTTTGCCGTCGGGATTCCATTTGGAGGATACTGTCTCCTTGACAGATGATTTAGGGTTTGGGGGCTAGGGTTTAGGGTTCAGGGGTTTAGGGTTTTGGGCTGGACTGGTGCACCCAACAACGAGACCACAGCCCCTCAATCATTGAGCATGTCTCTAACATTATCGAAGTTAAGTGTCAAAATCAAACTCAGTTTTAATTTAAGCATAGATGAAAAGCAAACCCATCACTTAAGGAATGTCCCTCACATTGAAACAGTCATGATTGGGTGGGGTCCAACTATGACGCAAAACCCTATATCCTAAATCTGAAACCCTAAAGCCCGGTTAAGCCTTACCTGTGGCCCCAAAGACCTACTTTTTTCCAAGGAAATCTAAATCGCGGACCCTTAAACCCTTTCACATTGCCGGTCTTGTGTAAACCATAGGCCCGGACCTTTAGAACCACCATATTATGGTCGTTTCGGCTACAGGTGGGGGGTGCGTTAAGGCTTTCTTTTGCAGATCCCTCTGTCGATCCTGACTGGGCTTGCAGTTCTTTTGCTAAGCTTTTTCGTCATCTGTGCAAGGAAATTAGGGCTATAGGGTATAGGAATTCAAGGTTAAGGGTTTATAGGGTATAGGGCCTAGTGTTGGGTATAGGGCCTTCAGGTTTTTAGGTTTAGGGTCTGTTTTAACACAGTGTATTTTAGTTGGGGCTCTTGGGATTCATGGTTTCAGGGAGGTAAGCCGCCGAGTTACCTCAGGTCGTCCTGTTTCACGATCTTGACCGGCATCCTGTGTGGGACCACAGGAGACTTCTGGCAGGAACTTACTTCCCCAATAAGCCAGGGAAATACAAGGTTAAACTTTCAGATTGCTACTGAATTATAAGAAACCAAAAAGTTTAAAGGTTGGGTATTGGAGAACGGCAGAAGATACGTTCTGGGGTATGGTGTGAAGGAAGAAGTGCAGGGTTTGCAAAGGCTTACAGGGGCTGGCTCCGTGCGTTGATACACCGTCAAGGCACAGTGGACCCCCCTAACCCTAAACCCCAAACCCTAAACCCCACCTGCTCTTGGCGGCAGTTCGGCGCCTCTCTGCCGGGTTCTTCGAGCCAAATGCGGGCCAAGCACCAAAGCACATGCACGAACAACAACTGCTGCAGGCATACCAAAGCTGCCACTCCTCTGAACTTGAGAGATTGACACCAGCTACTGCTGCCTCTGATGAAGGGATCTAAAGAATTCGAGAAAAATCGCCTCAGAGTTCCTTCACAACTGTCTCAACACCCCATTCGAAGCCTTCAAGCAAAGCATCATAACACTGGTCCATCTGTCAAGGCCCTTGTCTTAGACAGAAAGCTCACCCACTCCCTATATTACACGCCCCAGCTGTGGACCCGGCCCTTTTGCTTGATCTGGAGATGGTGGCAGGGGAACCGCGCCTCGAGCCATCGCCTGAGGCTACATACAGCGCTTGGGGTTTTGGGCTGCAGGGTCGGTTTGCATGAGGGTTCTAATTGCAGGTTCTATGGATTTCCACAAGGGCTTCAGGGTTTGTGTGAAAAGAGCAAGAGCTTCAGGGTTGTCTGCAAGATAAGTGAGACATCATGTGGCCCTTAATCTCTCTTCTACCTTATAACATAGGAACCTGAACGATCAGTAATAACCACTCAACGATACTATGTCCCCCTATTCTAATTACTACGGGCCCTGTATTCAACCGGAACAGCAACCCTCATAGAACGCTTAAAAGAGCCCTTCAAGAAACCTTTAAAGGGACCCTACTAAAACTAGCTATTCAGAACATTTCTTGCATCACACTGGCCTGAGGCAGTGGCCAGGATCGCTGCCGAGTATCCAACGTAGCTTCCCAGCTCCTGTATTTAGGGCTTGGGCTTACAAGGTTGTAGGGTTCTGGGGTTACAAGGTTATAGGGTCACGGGGTTCCTCTCTGGCTTAGCGGTGGTAGTAGTATGTAGTAGTAGCAGTAGTAGTAGTA